ATGAACATTTGAAGTAACCATTAGCAGAAAGATTTATTAAAATAATCGAGAGATTTGCCAGAAGTATAATGTTAAAATTCCAACCTTCAGTCTCCCAAAAACCATTCCTTATAGCTTCCTTTACTAGAATGACCATCTCATTTTGTCCAACCCCTTTCCAAGGATTCATGTTTCCATTAGATATACATCGTATATTTCATTTAAAATAAATAATTTAATTGGGACAATTGGCCAAGTGGTAAAAGATGTGAAACTTATGAGGGAGGTCTTGTTCGTATGATTCTGTAAGTGTACGGATCGTAACAAGTAATAAATTAAGTTTTTTAGTCAAAGTCTCATTCCGAAAGACTAAATTTTAGTGTAAATTTTTATTCCAATTCTAGTTTCATTCTAAACTCATGTAGTAACCAATTAACAAATCAAATGTTTATGTTTTAACAAAACTATTTGTGGAGACTTATGGGATTTAGTGGTTAGAATTACGATTTCACTTAAGTCAATTTAACATTCATTCAATTATGGGATTTAGTGGTTAGGAATTACGATTTCACTAAAGTCAATTTAACATTCATTCAATCCAAATTAATTTAGTCTCTTTTTCGTATGTATCAACAATCAAATTAACTTATTGTAGCTAGTGATATATCTTGAGTAACACTAATTATATTCATATGCCCGAATATACTATATTTCTATGTAAATTTACACACGTATGAATGTTTTAACCTAGAGGAATTATATGTAGATTGCATAGCCTATAATTATCTCTTGATTTCTTATAATAACTATGATACTTATTGGACGAGCTAGAATAATACATTACCTCTCGGTCTCAGTATTATCCATAAATTAATCAATTGGTGATCAAGTAATTGAAGTATTAAACATACAATACATAATTAACACATAATCAAGTTGTATGAAATCAATTGAATTAAATAAACATTAAACCTAAACTATGTCATTCATACTAACAACCAAGAATATAGCCAATCATACTTGCCGAATGAAATGACAAAAGAATGAAAAGCATAACCGTGTGAGTTCAATACAATGAATAAAAAATTTAATCCAAGTAATTGTTGTTCTTTGGCGCCCAAATTCCAACAATGATCTTCATGTCTTCCTTGATTGGTTGTATATCTCTTGGCCAATTTTGTTCTTCAATTTTCAAATCCCAACTTGAGATACAAATGTTGAGGATTCAAGATATTTGGATGTGTAATTATGCCTCAAAATTGTATCTCTAGCCTTCTTTAATTTTTGAATGAAAGAATCCTATTTATAAACCTAATTTAGATCTAAAAGAAAGTTCTAGGAGGATACAGAACCATGATTTTAGTCCAGGAGGATATCTCAAATTGCTGAATGTAATATTTCCTTTTGATTGAGTCTTTGTTTCCTCTTTCAATTCAGATTAAGTCCTCAAATTTTTCAACTGAGGTCCTTCAATTTTCAAACGTAACTTCTAGATCTCCAAAAGTCACATTTTGACGGCCAAGAAAAGCGTAATATATTTACACTTATCAGTTCACATCCTCACTAGCCGCAAGAATATTTAATGGAGTATGGTAAGACCTTAGGATAAGTGCGCCCACAAATCCAAGAGGCATCCATCGCCTTCATGGAATCCCTTTAAATAGAAGGACACCCAAATACCTATATGGTAAGCTTCATCGTTTCATTCTCACCGAAAGAAAGTAGACGTGCACGTTGAAAAGCAATTGATTTTCCAAGAATAATTCCCAGTTCTCACGATTCACCAATTGACCTGCTAACAATCTATATCAACCCAAAGCCTCTGACATAGTCTTCATGTGGCAAAATGTTTGTTTGTAAAATAATGACAAATACTTTTAAACATAATGGTTGAATGATAATTTAATTGTATATATTGAGAATGATGTATTTGACAAGATTGAAAATGATATAATTATGGAGAGATGGAGAGAACGAGTAGAGAACAATTGTAATAAAATATCTATTGCTTTAGTTTTTTGCCACTCTTTTGAAAGTTTGATGGTGCCCCCTAACCCAAAATGTGTGAGTCCGCCCCTGATGAGAAGGTGCCATGACTCCTAGTGGAGAGGACATGGATTGAAGAACCTAAAGCCCGGCCGTAGGCCAAAGCCACCTATCCAATGGCCTAGGGCCTCAAATTTTAAGGGGGCCAAGAAAAACCTTCATCTGATAAAAAAATAAAATCAAAATATGATAATCAGGTCTTGACTGTAGATTTTCTGCACAATGGCTAAATCTGCTGCTCTTTGGTTGCTAAAAATCTCGAACTCTTCCATTTCTGAATTGGATTTTGATGGTATCATCCCTTTTTGCTGTTTTTTTCTCTTTTTGGGGGTTCAAGATTTTTTTTTTCCCTTCTTTTTTTGAGTCGTTTCTATTTTATCTATCTGCCTTTCTCTAGCCCTTTTCTCATATGGGTTTAATCTATGAGGCAGTTAAGAGGGCGCCAAAGCTTTGAGAGAGATTAGTTACTCTACCCATGTCAAGAAGGTTTGATATTGGGATTTTTGGTCAATTTGTTAGTGGTGTCCTGTAAATGCTAGTGTCTACGTGAAAAAGGTGGAGAAAAAAATCACTATAAGAAATATTTGTTCCTAAAAAAATTTATTTTTTGCAACAATTTGTTGTGACGAGGAATATTTGTTGCTAAAAATTCTATTGATGAAGGAAAAAATCACTACAAGAAAAACTATTTTTTACAACGGACAAAGAAAGTTGTCGTAGGTCTTTCACAATGTTCGCCCATATGTTGTAGCCTCTAATGTTGTCTTAGAGTAGAAGGATATGGCAACATGCAATGCATATTTCAAATGGCCTCAAATTTATGTTGTTGTTAAGTTTTTGCAACGTACTTTATCCATTACATTTATTATATTTTTCACCGCTTTGCTTGTTGTTTTAACTTTTTTTTGGCAACGTTGTTTGTTTTTTTTCCAACAAGTGTTTTTTTTTTCATCTGGCTAAAGATTACATTTTAATATATAATATAATTTTGGAAAATTTTAATTAATTTTGATCAAGAGAAAAAAGTTTATAATAAAAGCTTTATACAATTTCTAGAAAAAATTTATGTCCAACAAAAAATCAAAAAATAAATCATTAGAAGATTAAACTTTCACTCACAAATTAACTTACAAAAAAGAACTACTAGGTTGTACCAGTCCATAATGAAAAATAGATGCCTCGACACTTAAAGCAAATAAATAAACAAATCATAATTCATATATTGACATGTTGAATATTGTTGATAGTTCAAATTGTTGTGAAGACATGCCCAACCTGACCCGATATGAAACTATGTAAAATATATTAAAATATTTCTGATGGTAAAATTTAGTTGATAATAAGACATAAAATTAAAACATATTATCAAAATTCTAATTTTTATCCTTCTGCTTGAAAACACACTTTATCTAAGTGGGGATAGATGTGGACTGTAGATTATCAAGATCAAGTAACAATCGTTGAATCCCTGTATAATGAAGAGTCTCACAGATTAGGGTTAGATGAAAACAATGTGCTCTCTCTCAAGGAGCGGCTGCACATCCATCACTCTAAAAGCTTTGTGCAGTTCTTAGTGATAATTTGTGATTAGAGTGTATTGTGTATAGATTGTAAAAAGGAGAGTTTGAGGATATACATTTTTAGATTTTTCGAAAGGTTGATCCGTGTGGTCTCTGCACATCAGATTCTTCAAGAAGTCGTCATGCCTCTTCTCAAACATTTCTTGTGGAAGACTCTAAAATTTGATTCTTTATTCAAATTCTTATTTAGACCCGATTGGGTTTTTATTAATTTTTTTGCTGTGTTTTGAGATGTATTGAAAAATTGGTTCTATTATGAGCTTCTTGAGAAGTTGTAAAATCAGTTCTTTGCTATTTCTGTTCATTTTCTTCAAATCTCTGTGTGTTGATCTTTTCTTGTCTTGTATATATGTTGTTCTGATATTTATGGAAAAACTAGTTCTATTAATGAGTATCTTGAGAAGTTCTGACATGGGTTTAGTTTAATCGCTCCTCTGAAAATCCCTTTCTCCATTTTCTTCAAAGCAGAAAGCATCGTTGTGCTTTTTCTATACTGGAAAATCCCAACAGTGTAGTGAATTTGGATTCTTTTGTTCTTCACTAGTAACTTCAGCAGTGGAGAACAAATAGTCTTCCAATGCTGTAAATTAGGAAGATGAAGCTTGATTTAAAAGTGATTAGTTAGTTCTTGTGATCAACGAGATTTTAGCATTAAAGAAATTAATATTGAAGAATTTGATAATTGGCCTTCTAGTGGCATTCCATTTAACTGCCATGTTTTCGGGTTTCATTCTGTTGATACTCATTTCATGATTAGTCTTTTGATGTTTTCATCTTATAACAAAAGAACGAATTTTCTTATCATCTCGAGGAAGTTTATAAATTTGTTTTAGTTTCACTTGCTTGATTTAAAAAATCTCAAGAACTTGTTTTTAGTAACATATTTACAAGCACTAGAATTAGTGGTTCATACCT